AAATCCTAATCAACTCATTAACCCAACGCTGTTTATTTCAAAGTCTTTTTTAGTTTAATTTTTTAAATATTTATTTTTATACATTTTATATTATTAAATTACATGTACTTAATTAAATTTAACTTTTTAAATTACTTCTTAAGTAATTTACAAGTTATTTGTAAAGTAATTATATTTAGAACCAGTTCATAAACCAATCCATACATAGGAGGGCTAGGATGAATTGTGGACCCAACACTACAATATAGACAATTTGAGTTGTGATTATTTTTTTTAATTTAATTTAAGTAAAATGTTAATTTAGTCCTTCAATTTTTAAATTTGTTTTAAAACTATCCTCTAACTTCAAAAAATTATCAAAATTGTCCTTAAATTTTAATTTTTAGTGCCAAAATAATTCTTTCGTTAACAAAAATATCACGTGACTCGTTATTTTGTCACAAAATCAATTTCTTTTTAAAATACTAATGACATGTAAAATCAACCAATCATATTTTGTCATCATAGTATATTTCTATTTATACATTATATTAATATGTAATCAAAGTTAAAAAACCAAATTTATATTTGTAATTAAAGTTTAAGGACTAAATTGATACTTATTTTCAAAGTTCAAGAACTAAGTTGATACTTATTTTTAAAATTCAAGGACTATTTTGGCACCCAAAATTAAAGGTCAGGGACAATTTTGATTCTTTTTGAAACTGAAGGACATATTTATTACAAATCTAAAAGTCAAGTGACCAAATTTATATTTTAATCTTTAATTTATATAAGGTTATATCAGTATATAGTAATAAAATATTAAAAAAATTGAAAAATTCAACTTTTTATTTGACCAATCAAAACAGCCTATCAAACTAATTGAACCAAATCTAGTGCTGAAAACAACATACTCACCAAGTCGTGTTTTAAACATTGGTATAAGAGCATTCAAAGAAGAAGTGGCTGCATGTTTCCATTCCTCCACAAATACAACACCTACCGTCCATATGCAGGCCTTTGGGATCAAAAGAGGCTTAGATCTGTATTCAGACCATTCCTAACAAGCATATTGTTGTAGTCATGACAAAAAGGTTTTGCGTTTTTGGTCAGAAGCATTTTACTGACATAATATGGTTTGAAATCAACTCCTGTACTTAAAAGAGACGGTTTTAAATCCTCAAACTTGAAAAAATTATTGCCAATTAGCCCTTATTGAACACCTGACGTCAGCAATCATGTTATGTTTAGTGGAAAGCCAATTTTTTGGTAAAAGATATGTAATATATAATACACGAGTATCCTGTTTGTATAAATTTTATTTACAATTTATATACATTATTATATGAATGAATATACACAATATTATAAAAAAATTAATTATTAAATAATATATAAAATTATATAAAAAAATTGTATGCAGAAAATTATTTCTTAAATATTTTTATTTTAAAAAAAAATAAAGAATCAATTTCGATTGATTCCATAAATGATATGACGCTGAGTGAGTCAAATTTTCTCCCTCGCGGTGACCCACACTGCTCACATGGCAATTCTTGGAGGGATTTTTACGACTCAAATGCGATGACTCTCAAAGCCTAAAACCCAATTCCTGCAATTGCCTTTTAATTTCAAGATTAAGGATGTTATTAGGAGGAATTAAACCCAATTCTCCAAATTCACTTCGGAGTAGCATCTTCTTCTCAGTCTATAACAAGGCAAGGTCAGGAAGGTTACTTACAATTCTTGTGGTTGCTTGGACTATTTGGAATCCAGGAACGGACTTATTTTCAAGAATATGCAGTGGGATAAACATAGAATCCTTGAGCTAAATCAATCTAAATCTTTCTCGTGGATTAAGAGTAAAACCTTGAACGCCGAATTTTCATTTAGGGACTGGTGTCTCTTTCTCTATTTGTCGGCTAAAGAATTATAAGAATGCAATTAAAATTGTTACCTGTAAAAGCGTTGAAGTAGCACTTGTAATCGCTTTAATAATAAATACAATGATTGGTACATTTTTCGGTTTAATATTTTTTGGTTTAATT